ACAAGGTCTGGAGGATCTCGGCACTTAAATCAAGATAAGGATTTTTTATGTTAAAAATAGTTAATAAAGACATTATCACAACCTCCACAGTCCCAGTGAATTCTCAGAATTGGTGAATTATACAGGGCTAAAGAAGAGAAAAAGAAACCAGAATGTCCCTTAGAAAATGAACACATGGCAGAATTAAGGTCTGGAGTAGCAAAACAAATGGTATAGATGGGCCTCTGCCGCTTATCCAGATCTCTGGCCAGTGAGTTTCAGTGCCTGGCAGTTGATCTCCAGCCCCAATCAGGGAGCTCTGGTGAGCCAGCTAGGCTCAGATGAGAGCCTTCACAGCCCAATTTGCTTTCAGCGTGTGAGAGTATGTCATAAGCAGTATCACTGTGAATATTTGGCCACTTATTTTTTGGTATTTTTCACACCCCAATTTATTGACCACATTTGAAGCTTGGGGAGATGAGAGATGACCCCATATTTTCTTTTGCAAAGAAGACCATCTAATGGGAGCGTGCAGTCTTGAGGATTTTTGCCCAGTGAACGCACCCCTTCTTGCCTGTGACAATGCAACTTCTCTTAGAGAATTTCCCCATTCTTCAACCTTAAGGATTTCAGGCACAAATTATGAATCACTAAGAATCTAGCAAGCAGCTCTGGAAGCCTCCAAAGAGAATTGCACTTCCCCAACAGAGGGACAGGAGGTGGAGTGTAAGTATAAAAGAACAGTGGATGGCCTAAATCAGAATGTGTCACTCTTTGTAAAGAGCCACAAGTGTTTGACTAGGGAAAAAGAAAAAGAGGCGAGAATAACGAGAAAGAGACACCAAGATCAAGAGGAATGGGGTAAAGGAGATTTCTATGAGGTGCTACTGGATAGGTCTTTATTAATAGACACTGAAGGATATAATAGAATTGGAATTCCTTTTATTTATTTTATATTTATTGATTGATTGATTGATTGATTGATGGAGTCTCACTCTGCTGCCCAGGCTGCAGTGCAGTGGCACAATCTCGGCTCACTGCAACCTCTGCCTCCCAGGTTCAAGTGATTCTCCTACCTGAGGATTACAGGCGTGGGCCACCAAGCCCGTCTAATTTTTTTATTTCTAGTAGAGATGGGGTTTCACCATGTTGGCCATTCTGGCCTTGAACTCCTGACCTCAGGTTATTCGCCCGTCTCAGCCTCCCAAAGTGCTGGGATTATAGGCGTGGGCCACCGCGCCCAGCCTGGAAATGTTTTTAAATACTTCCTGTTGCTGGCCACTGTTTATTCGACTGTGACATTATGCAGAGACATGGGACCATGGAGCTCAGGCCTCCCTTTGGGTCACACCAGCCTCCTGAAAGGTGACAGTGTTACAGTAGTGTAGCAAATGGGCAAGTGGGTTCATTGTTCTTGGAGAATGAGAGACTGGATTGAAATAAAGAATACAAATGAGCTGGGTGTGGTGGCTCACACCTGTAATCCCAGCACTTTGGGAGGCCAAAGCAGGAGAATCACTTGAGGTCAGGAGTTCAAGACCAGCCTGGCCAACATGCTGAAACCCCATCTCTACTAAAAATACAAAAATTAGCTAAACCTGGTGGTGCATGCCTGTAATCCCAGCTACTTGGGAGGCTGAGGCAGGAGAATCACTTGAACCCAGGAGGCAGAGGTTGCAGTGGTCAGAGATTGCACCACTGCACTCCAGTCTGGGCAACAAAGTGAGATTCCGTCTCAAAAAAAAAAAAAGAAAAAAAGAATAGGAGTGGTTGTGTGGTTTAAAAAAGCAAAGTCCAGGAGTGTGGAACTAGACATGACTTTATGCATAGGCCAGAGAGAATGTCACGAAGGTACTCTCTAAAGGCATAGCTCTGTGTTTGATAACAAAGCATTTGATTCATCCAATCATACATTCATTTATTCAGCAAACCTACTTACTTGGCAGGTATTGTATTAGGTGCTGAAGATTAATTATAAACAAGGCGCACAGCCTGACTGTATGAATCTTAAAGACTAAGACCAACCACAGCAACTACGGCTCATGCGCCAAACCTAGCCTGTGTTTGTAAGTAGTTTTATTGAAACACAGCCACACACATTCATCTACATATTTTCTTTTTCTTTTTCTTCTTCTTCTTTTTTTCTTTTTTTTTTTTTTTTTGAGACAAGGTCT